TTTGTTCGTTCTTTTAGTAATGACGTAATGTATTGGTAAACTCTAGACGAAAACAACACTGTCAATATAGCACGTTTGGACGAAATGGGAAATGTATACACAATATTTTGTCGAGAAACGTCAAGGGGAGAGTGACTTATATCGGTGGCTATGAATTAATGAAACAGTATGAATGAATACATAAATATTTTATTAAAACAATTACAGTTTCTATTTAGGGTCCCGGGGTTTGACCCCTTGATTCTTGCAGCAGTAATTATTAATACAACTATCTTCCGGGACGTGATGCCCTGTATTTCTTTCGAGAATAACATATAAAATTTTGTGACGATATATTGTACAATTATTGTGTTTCTGGACATTATCCATGGCCCTGTCTTTATTTAAAACATACAACATCACGGAAACAGGATTCTGCTTCCGTCTTCAGGCGGAACCTACTCAATTTGGCCCAATCGATAGCTTTCGGTTTCTCCAACGGAACTGCATACCCAAGGCTGGGGGCAGTTTGGGCCTTGCAAGATTTAGCCACATATGCCATGGCCAAATTAGACATTCTCTTTGTTATTGCAAAATTAAGCAGGGATTTGTCTGATTCTGTTAGAGTATGCTCTAATAAATTGAAGACAAACTTCTCGGGCCCATGCATAGCTTTCGGGGTCGCGGTAGTCTGGTGGAGATAGTTCGTTGTTACAGTTCTCGAGTGTGACTCTCCTTCTGCTTACGAAAATGACGTCTGAAGGAGTGGACTTGGTCCGACTGATTTAGTCATCATCGAAAAAAAAAAGGTTTCCAGGTGTTGATTTTTTTTTTTGTTCACTGTCATCTTTTTGAAAAAGTAGAACTCGATTTTGTCTCTTAGCATGGCCGGGTGGAGCCGGGATAGCTCAGTCAGTACAGGGACTGGCTACGGCCTGGACGACCGAAGACTCGGAGTTCGAGTTCCGGTAGGATCAAGAATTTTCTCTTCTCCACAGAGACCAGACCAGCTCTGGGCCCACTCAGCCTCCTATCCAATGGGTACCGGGGGCTCTTTCCCGGGTGTAAAGCGGTAGGAGCAGGAAGCTGACCATTCGCCTCCACCTAATACCAGGGTCAGGAAAATGTGGATCTATACATCCACTCCACCATACGCCTTTATTGCGTAGTGCTTAATTAATTAAGCACAGGGATAACTTTGCCTTACCTTTACATTTCAGCCAGACCTGGAAGATGGCATTTACGTATTAATGCGTGACACCGCCATGTTGTCTGTCACAACATTGCTGGCAAACTTAGAAATTTAATTTAAAAACAAGACCCAAAATCTAACCTTACAACGGTCCTGTCTTCTGGGATATAACGCGTGTAGTCCGCTGAAAATCCCAGAAGATGGAACCTTTCATACCCACAGCTGTTAGATCCTGAAATCCTATTTAACTTTAGAATTTATCTCCAACAGGTCCACAACGTTAGGCCCGTGGTTCCATTTTTGAAGAGGTCCCCTTACATATTAAGCACCAGAGTTAGCAACGCTAACACAGCGGACATGAGTTAAGGTTTTAACGTTACTTAAGTCATCAGTTGGCCGCACCATAGCTCAGGCGGTTAGTCGCTGGCTCACCACCTCGGAGACCCGGGTTCGATCCCAGATCAGGTCATGTGGGATTTGTGGTGGACAAAGTGGCGCGGGGGCACGTTTTCTCCGAGTACTTCGGTTTCCCCTGCCAATCTTCATCCCACCAATTGCTCTACAATCACCTCTCATCTGGGGCTGGTACAATAGGCCAGTAGTGGCCGCAGTACCAAGTGAACTTTGTCAGCTGCTCTAGTGATATTTGGTGTTGATAATATCCCAGTAATAATAATAATAATAATAATAATAATAATAATAATAATAATAATAATAATAATAATGTCATCCGTTAATACGCAGGTATCTGATACATATTTAACGTTTCGAAGGAACCTTCTGTCTCCATGTTCAGGTGGTAAAAGTAAGCTGCATGGACCGTGATACGGAGAATTGGGGGATCAAGGACGTCGGCCAAGCCTGACCCGTTTTACGGGGCTCCCCTATAGTGCGAGCTCCTAGCAGTTATATGAGCTTTAAAATATTATTTTGTTCCGAAAATTGGTATTCCAGAATCTGCAGCGCTTCATTTCGCCTCGTAACTTCGTGAGAGTGCAATCCAAACTCCAGTAATCCCGTTAGCCGCTGCAAAAAGTAACGCCACTGTGCAGACACGTGACCTCGCCCTTAACAAGACAGCGCAGCATCAAGTGGATTTACAGTGCTACACAAAATATTTGCATAGGGTTTAGCGAAAAAAGTTCTCGAACCCAGACACACAAGGTAAAGACTCCCAAGTACACCAACCTAATATTAAAAAAAATGATACATGTACAGTATACAGTCAGTATAGAGACCGGCTACGTGCTGGACAACCGAGGGAGAGGAGTTCGAGTTCTGGCGGGAGCAAGAATTTTCTCTTTTCCGCAGGGTCCAGACTGATTCTGGGGCCCACACCCAGCCTATCCAATGGGTACCAGGGGCTCTTTCCTCGGGGATAAAGCAGGCAGGGCGTGAAGCTGACCACTCATCAACTAGTGCCGAGGTCAATCCCCCATACGTCTTCATGGAGGAGTACTTAGTCGAGCAGAGGGACAATTTTACCTTTTATCTAATCCTTCCAGCCGCACTATGGTCATGGGGTCGACTAAGCCCTAACTGAAATGAGTACCAGAAATTTTCGTGGGGGTAAAGGGCGGCCGCGCGCGAGGATGGCAAACTCACTATCTGTGAGCCCTTTTTCTAGGAAATGTGGAATTTTCGACGTCTCACAACTCTATGGGCCTCCACGGCCTACTACAGGGATGGTTTTACCTTTGTACTCTGTCATGAAGACAGACGGGGTAGTGGAGGTATAGCTCCACCATTCATTTCGGCAACAAATGGAGGTGAATGATCGACTTTACCCTCCTGACGCTTTATCCTCTGGGGTAAGAAACCCTGGGACCTATTTTATAGCAGACTGGGGGCCCCTGAGCCGGTCTCGACGCTGTGGAGAAGAGAGACATCTTGTCCCGGGCCTTCCAGCCAGTAACCCGTTGCTATACCGACTGAGTTAACCGGCTCCTTGTCTACATACTTGTCGTAAAGATAGTCCGCAGGAAAAACCGAACGATGTTCAGACTCTCCCGAAACGTCAGCACTCTTCTATCAGACTACAAGGCTTCATATACCAGAAGCTGATACACTTCATTTTAACCATTGTGAGAATCGATAATCTTAAGATACATGTACTGTCCGCGAGTTGTCATCTGGCCGCTCTCAACAGAATGCGCTGCGGATTCAGTGAAGTTCACTAGCTGAGAAACAGACTGCAAGGTGTGCGTGGGCCTTAAGAGTGCGACATCCTCCCTTCCGCCCACAATGCAGCTGCAACCACTGTCTCGCCAAACTTCTCACTTGTCCTTACGTGCAACCCAGGAGTCTGGACTAGGTACACAGCCTGTAGTTCCCGGCACCCGTCAATCAATGTTCCTCCCTTGGCGTGAGAGACTGTGACAACAAGTCCGGAAAGAAAATGGCGTCATTTAGAACTCAGTGGATTCTCAGGAAAGACAGACGCCTCGTGTTATTTCAACGAGGGTCATCACGTCACGTCCAACTCAGCGCTCCGATGAAACACTTACTTACAACAAAAAGCCGCAGACGCAATAAAACGTCACATATCCGCAAAATTACTACGGTTATACTTTCAGTAAACTTTCCGTCCACAGGTCTTTCTTTTGTTGTGAACTTTTCAAGGCTCCACAAGTCACACTCGCCCTGTTCCCCGGACATCATTCTGTCTCCGTAACTCACGTACGCCACACGACCACTGAAACCCATGGGGAATGACTTTCACACTGTGGGTCGCGACCCCCTACGGGAGTGCAGAGTACTTGCGATTTCTTCAAAACACAGCCGTATCAGCAGTCTGTGAGATTTAAAGCAGGTGCGTTTGGGAAACACTTGGTGAATATTTTCGTTACTTGACATGGCCATTTTATGGCTTGTTGTATGTGTCGAGAAAGATTAGTATAGGAATGGGCTAGGGGCTGGATGGCTGGGGTTCCATTCCCGGAAGAGGCAAGATATTTCTCTTCTCCATAGTGTCCAGACTGACTATAGGGTCCACCCAGCCTGCTATTTAATGGGTACTGGAGGGCTGAAGCTGACAACAAAACTCCATCTAACGCCCAGGTTAAAAATGGCGAATAAACACCTTCACCCCTTGCTCATGTGTCTTCATGGTGTCTTGCTTAATTAATTACACCACGGGAGAACTTTACTTTAGCTGTGTGTGTAGACAAGAGTGAAAGCTATTTCGGCTTCTGGGATATAACACCGTGTAGGTCTGCTTTCAACGGACTACCTACCTACTACCTTGCTACCTATCTATGGCTCTACAACCCTTTGTTTGACCTTGGCCGCTTATTTCAGTTTCTTAATCCTATACACAGTCGGTAGGTCTCCTTGGACAGGGGATCAGAGTGTCGCAAGGCCGCTACCTACACATATAACACGAACATGGAATAAACGCATACAGACATCCATGCCTTGAGTGGGATTCGAACCCACGATCCCAGCGTTCGACCGAGCGAAGAGTGTTCATTTCTTAGACCGCGAGCCCACTGCGATCGGCCTTTTAACGGACTACACGGTGTTATATCCCAGAAGATAGAATTCTCCATAACCACAGCTGTGAGAACCTCTGTTGCCACCGTACAGACCGAACGGCTTACAGCAATGTGCAGAACAGAAACTTGACGCGCATGAAGACACTACTACCACCGTACAGCCTGTACAGCAATGTGCAGAACTGCACTTTTCGCTGACCGGTAGAGATGGCGTGATTCACACATATTTATGGCTCTTAGCCTCTTCGTGAATGCAAGTTTGATTTCATTTGTCTAACAATAACAGGCTTTATGTAATTACTCTTGTAACGATTCAAAAGTTGCATACTTACGGCGAGAGGCAGTTCTAGAACAGCACGAGAAAACCGGACACTCACCTGCAAGACAAAGGAACACTCAAATATTATGACACTCAACAGAGATGAGACACTTATGAGCTGAAGGTTGCACCAGACTGAAGTTACAGTAAACCGTCATTAATCCTGAAACAGATAATTCGGACCGAAATATGAAAACATTAGAAATGCTGTTCACAGTTGAGTACATATTTCAAAAAGACAATGACATTTAGGAAGGCGGATCAGTCACCTGTCTCTTCAGACAAAACTTGACAGTTTCTTCAAACCTGCATTGTTACGTTTATAAACAAGTACAACTTCTGAGCCTTCTATCGATGAATAAATGTTGTCTTTTTATAGTTTTGAAATAAAGGCTCTAAGTGATTTCTTTAGTTTCATCAGCACTACTTATATCATTAAGTGCTGGAATAGCGCAGTCGGTACAGTGACTGACAACTGATTGGACAACCGAGAGGTCGGAGTTCGAGCCCCGGTAGGGTCAAGAATTTTCACTTTTCCAAGTCTGGGGTTCATCCAACCTCCTATGCAATGGGTACCGTGGGCTCTTTCCGAGGGGGTAGTAAGGCGGCCAAGGCGTGAAGCTGATCATTCTAATTCCGAGGTCAAGTAAATATGGATCTATACATCCACTCCCCCATACGCCTTCATGGCGTAGTGCTTGATTGGTTAAGTAGAGGGATAACTTTACCGTTACCTACGTATATCATTAAATTTTCCATTTATTTGTGTTCTGTGGTTTGTTTTGCCTTCTAGGGCTATTTTTGCTTCATTAATCCGGATTATCGCTTAATCTGGACGCCCCCCCCCCAGTTATTCCGGATTAGTGAAGGTTTACTGTATTAGGATACAAATGAGAATGAAACGGTTCTGAGTCTTCACGGCGGTAATAAGGATTAGGATTGTAAAGCCGTGTAGTTCGGACAGAGCCCGACGTTTCGGTGGAACACATCACCTCCATATTCAGAGTCAAGTCAAGCGAGAAGCCAGCAGAAGCTGGTGCCAAACTGATATCCGAAATACACGGCGTCACATTCCAGGAGATAGTAACTGTTCGTAGTCGTCACCATGGGAACCTGAAATCTTCCGTCTGGACAGAATGGCTGACAGTCTATAGGCTACAGCAAAAAAAAAAACGGTGAGCCTGAGGAAGACCTTGGAGAACATCGAATGAGTGTGTAAAGTCGGAACAGGCTCGATTGTCTATATTCATTTTGGTTGGTTATTTAAGGACGCCTTCAGTACCGAGACTACATAGCCTCGATGACAGGCTGATAAACGAACGTGGAATGAGAACTGGTAGGGGAAACCGCAGTACTTGGGGGAACACCCGCCTCAGTGTCACTTTGCCCAACTAAGTCCCACGTGACCTGACCTGAAATTGAACCCTGCCGCCGTGTACCATGACGTGAAGAATAAAATAAACAAGTTATGAAATGTATGCATTGCGTAATAATTCTGCCGTGTTCCTTGTGTTCTAGCCGAAAATCGAACCCCGATTCTTGTGTCATCCAGGCAGTAGGTTAGTCACTATATTGACTGAGCTATCCCGTGTCCAAATATCAGAATATTAATTTTAAAACATTACAAGAGTCATACTGTGGAACGGGGAAAACGTTACGGTTCAGGTTTAAATATATAAAGTGGGAAAAATATAAAGAAAATGTGAACAAATTATTTACAACCCAGATAAAGAAGGTAAAGCTGCCCCTGTAACAGGCCGTGGAGGACCATAGAGTTGTTAAGACGTCGAGGCTCCAACATTTTCTAGACAGTCGGTTCACAGATGGCGTGAGGTTGTCAGCCTTACGCACCGGCCGCCCTTTACCTCCCAGGAAGATCCCTGGCATATATTTATGCTAGAGGCTGAGTCGAACCCGGGCCATAGTGCGGCTGGAAGGATTAGGTAAATTAAAAGTCCAATAACCTCATCGGGAATCTAACCCGCAACCTTCCGGCTTGTAGCATAGTTCCTCAACCAAATACATTCCAGAACTGTTCATAACAAAGGGATATCACGTACTGTTTCTAATACCGGTATTTCTTGTTCAAGTGACAAAGTTGGTACAGTTTACCTAGTATAACACATTTTCGAAAATTCCGCCGTCAACATCAATGCGCTTTGCAACTCGTGTGAGGGCATTGCGTGTTGCTCGTCTGTACAGTGAAATAGTTCTATCTCGGTGGAACTCGTGTGAGGACATGGCGTGTTGCTCGTCTGTACAGTGAAATAGTTCTATCTCGGTGCAACTCGTGTGAGGACATGGCGTGTTGCTCGTCTGTACAGTGAAATAGTTCTATCTCGGAAACAGTTCGGAATAGAACACATGTACACATACTTATTTTACTTAGAATGACCGACGCTATGACGTCCCAGAATACTGGCCTTTCCTCCTGGGACACCCTGTATTATGAGGGCAAAATGCAAGAGGTGCACACCACCACTCTTTTGGGTTAAGGAGGGGCTTCTACAATGGCTAAAAGGATCATAAGTTGCTCTCAGAACTTAACGGAGGGTCGTCTCGAAGGCAGGATTCCATTCTGACACTGAATATTCATGCTTTCCAGAAGGTGCAAGATTGCTACTCTTCCGTCTGTCTATAACGCCTTTGATTAAGACAGACACTCGGTAGAAAGCCTTTCACTCACACTGGGTTACCGGCACCCCTTTGATTTATACTCCGTAATTAACAGAAAACTAACACTTTTCTTTGACAGATGATGTGGCCTACTCCCAAAATCATGTGTTTATAATATCTTGAGTCCGCTTATCATTAAGTGGGGGCACGCGTAAGCGTAGTTGGTTGAGGAACTATGGTACAAGTCGCGGGTTCGAAACCCGATGATGTTATTGGATTTTTCAATTGATCTAATTCTTCCTATTCTTGACCTCGGCACAAGTTTGAGCGGTCAGCCTCACGTTACGGCCGCTTTACCCCCAGGGAAAGGGCCCCGCTGCCCATTGGTAGGAGGCTGGGTGGGTCCCAGAGCCGGTCTGGACGACGTGGAGAAAATTCTTGATCCTACCGGGACTAGAACTCCGACCCCTGGTCCGTCCAGCCAACAGCCAGTCGTTATCCCTCCTCTAGATTTACCTAACAGAAATGAGTACCAGTAATTCTGCTGAGAAGCCGCGCCATAGCTCAAGAGGTTAGTTGCTGGCTTCCCACCGCGGCGGCCCGGGTTCGATCACGGGTCTGGTCAAGTGGGATTGGTGGTGGACAAAGTGGCGCTGGAGCAGGTTTTCTCCGAGTACTTCGGTTTCCCTGCCAATCTTCATTCCACCAATTGCTCCACAATCACCCTCGCATATCATCTGGAGCTGGTACAACAGGCCAGAAGTGGCCGCAGTACAAGGGACTTGGTCCCACCCACCTAGCATTAAAAAAAATTCTGCTGAGGATAAGGGGCGGCCGGCGAGTAAGGCTAACAACCTCACCGCCATCTGCGATTCGGTTGTCTAGAAAATGTGGGAGCCTCGACGTCTCACAAGCCTGTGGGCCTCCACGGCCTGTTACAGGATTAGCTTTACCTTTGCGTTTACCTTATGAAGTAGAGACGCTGATGGTTCCATCATCATTAGAAAGTCACTAAAGATGGGAAGCAAAATTACCACACCGGAAGTCACACTCACCACACAGGGTTTATCTTCCCGAAGGTTACATACTCAAGGTGCAACGTACGCTCACACATGATTCATGACTCACTCCCAACTAGTATTGAGATCAAGAACGTGTGGATCTATACATCCACTTCTCCATACATCTTTATGGCGTAGTGCTTAATTAGTTAAGCACAGGGACAAATTTACCTTACATCACGAAATTTCACGGAGCAGGTAGGTGAAGCGGTTACGCTCTACGTTTTTATTCAGAAGGTCGTGGTTTTGAATTTCGCCCAGGAGGACGGATATCAACGTTCTCAAGCTTTTCTTCAGTCCTCCCGGCAAAATGCCAGGAAAGTACTGAAAATGACCGCCATTTTCTAAACCACTTCCAATTCAACATTATTCCATCGCTTTTAACTTCGGTGCTACATAGTCTAAATATTAAGAGCGTCGTTAAATAAGCATTCCAGAAATGAAGTTCATGAGTCCATTCAACTCCTTGTTTATTTTTTCTAATCCTATCATTAAAATGCCACCGAATAGAGGTTGGCAACCCTGCTTCCTACTCTTGGAGGTACAAGGGAGAGTCAGTAAATAGGTCACAAATGGATATAAAACGTAAAACTGAAAACATTTATTTCTAGACATGTCCTCCACCAACACTGATACACTTCACCCATCGCTTTACCAGTGCATCGAAACCGGCAGCAGAGACATTTTTTTACTGTGTCAGCCACTTCCGCGCTCCGTTTCAACCTCTTCGTCATAAGCGAAACGTTTACAACCGAGGTGGTTTTCTTAGCGAACCAAACACATGGAAGTCATTAGGGTACAATCCGGGTTGTATGGCGGATGTTCAAGAAGTTCCCACTGTAGTTCTGGAATTCTCTCCTGAGTTGCTAGAGCTGCATGGGGTCTGGCATTGTCATGAAGAAGCAGTACCCCTCTTACCAGTTGGCCGTCCGCACACTTTCCGCTGTATGCTGTATGCTAAACCATGGGAACATCCGAGTGCAGTTGCTACCCTGTCTAACGTTATCCTCCTCTCAGTTCGAATCAACTCTTCCACCCGCTGCACAGTTACTTCTGTCGCAATCTCCACAGGGTGACCTGGTCGGGCATCAATCTGCGACTTTCGAACGTCCTTGAGATGATTTCTCTACCAAGTTGTGAATAACTTTAAGTGACGAACACTTCCCACCGTAAACAGGAAACATTTCTTTATTAATATCCTATGCATCGAATTATTTTTCCACAAAAAAAACATACAATATAACGTTGCTCTTCTGTAGTACACTGATCAAACACGGTCGCCATTTTGACTACTGAAATCAGCCTCTGAACATGCGCATGCGCGTCTGCTAACTAGATTGTCGAGAAGGCTGGACTGTGCTACTACCTAGTGATACATATA